TGTGGAGGGGACCATGGAAAGACATAGTACTGATAGAACAGATTCATTGGGGCCACCAATACCTACTGTATGCTCAGAAAATAATTATTTAATCTTCGTTTTTCTGTGTGAAAGACTAAATAAGGATATACATATATGTAGAATATTAACAGCTATAGAGGACATTAATGGGATTATGTTCTTTTAATTTTAAATAAATGTTATGTTACACAAAGTAAACTTTTTCCTCTCTTTGTATTAATATTATAAATTAATTATACAATTGAGGGTTTAATTGTGATATTTCATGCATGAATATAGTGTATATCAAGTAAACTTTTAAAGACTATATTAGATACAAGCTATCTGAAAAAGAAGCAAAAAATTCAATCTTTAGTATCTGCCGAAGTTTACTTTATTCATTCAACTACTGGGCATTTGTACACATTGGTTCCAGCTTAAGCTACATGCGTTATTTTGACTTTTCAGTAGCTTATATATTTAGAATTATTATTTGGAATTAGCTATGAATTTTTAAAAATATGTGTTTATACATTTCTTTCAGTTTCTATGTTTTGGAGAAGCTGGAATGGAGCAAGGCCTTAGGTGGTCATTCTAGATAGTAGTTTCCTTGTACCTTACGTAGGAAGGTTCAATTTGTTGATTTCTTTTTCTCTTCTCTTTTGCTTCTCCTTTTCTTTCCCCTTCCCCTTTCTCTACTATTTTCCCTTCCCTTTCCTTTATATATATTTGGATATTATCTAAAAGTGTTTACCAATATATTTATAAATTAATTCTGGGTCCCACATATGAGAGAAATCATGTATCCTTTGTCTCTCTGAGTTTGCTTTACTTCACTTACATGATTTTTCCAGATCCTTTCATTTATTTGCAAATGGTATAATACCATTCTTTCTAATATATGAGTAAAATTCCATTGTGACTATATGTATCATATTTTCTCAATACATTTGTACATTGAGGGCTGGTTTCATACCAGCCACCATTGTGGGTAGTGCTGCAATGAACATGGTTGTGCAGGTGCCTTTATTATCTCTTAGTTCATAAGTTTTTGATAAATGCCAAGAGTGGAATTATGGATTATAGTGTAGTTCTATGTTTATTTTTTTTGAGGAGCCTCCATACTGCTTTCCACAGTAGTTGGGAAAGTTTACATTCCCATCAAGAGTGTACTGGGGTTCCTTTGCACCCATATCCGTGCTACCATTCGTTGTTTGCATTCTTGATAATGGCCATTCTAACTGGGGTGAGATAGAATCTCAGCATTGTTTTGACTTGTATTTCCCTTATGGCTAGAGATGCTGAATATTTCTTCATATGGCCATTTATACTTCTTCTGCAAAGGTTCTATTTAGCTTGTTTTCCCATATGTAAATTGGGTTGTTGATTCTTTGAGAGCTTAGTTTCTTAAAATATCTATATATTCTAGATATTAGGCTTTTGTCCAATGTATAGATGGCAAAGATCTTCTCCCATTCTGTAGGAATCAATTTAACCAAGGATGTAAAGGACTTCTACAATGAAAACTGAACAATTTTGAAGAAGGAAATCAAAGAAAAAATAAGGAAGTGGAAAGACTTCTGTGCTCCTGGTTTGGTAGAATTAGTATCATGATAATAGGAATATTGCCCAAAGCAATCTACAAATTCAGTGCAATTCTCATCAAAATCCTAACATCATGCTTCATTGATAAAGAGAAAACAATCCAGAAATTCATATGGAACCGCCAAAGGTTCCAAATTGCAAAAGTAATCCTGGGCAGAAACGGGAGTGTTAGAGGTTTAGCATTTTCTAAACATTGGACTATACTACAGAGCTATGGTAAAAAAAAAAAAAAAGCTTGGTACAGGCCTGAGGAACAATGGAAACAGAATAGAAGACCCAGAAACACATCCATAGACCTATAGCCATCTAGTATTTGATAAGGAAGCTAAAAACACAGGTTGGAAGAAAGCCTCTTGAACACATGGTGCTGGGAAAATGGGATAGCCATATGCAAAAAACTAAAACTGGATCCCTATCTATCACCTTGTATCAGTGTCAATTCAAAATGGATCAAAGACTTCAGTGTAAGACCTGAAACCATGAAATGAGTACAGGCAGGAGTAGGAGGAAACATTAGGACTTGTTGGCACAGGCAGAAACGTTCTGAGTAAAGATCCAGAAGCACAATGAATCAAAGAAAGAATAGATAAATGGAATTACATCAGACTAAAATGTTTCTGTATGGCATTAGTTTTCCTTTTTGAGACAGGATCGCACCTTGAACTTATGACCCTCCTGTCAGCCTATCTGGAGTTATAGGTGTGTGACACCATACCTGGCTTAACTTTTATGAATTTTGCTTTCCAATTTCACACTTCATTGATAGAAATAATAGTAGAAAAAAATGAATCTATGAATTTGATTGAACAATATCATATGGACTAAACCATTTTATTATACTTTAGATATAAGTATGATGCCATAGATCTTGAACTCCAAAATGATACTTCATACTCTTTTGGATTAGCCAATTATTGTTTAGTTGTTTTGGATAATAGAATATTAATAGCTACTTATTCAAAATGTTTCTTGAATGAAAACAATAGTATGTATTATTTATTTTCTTATGTAGTATGTGTGTGTATGTGTGTGTGTGATTTCAAAATTAAATACAAACAGAAAGTCCTATGATTAATGATTCACCCGAACACCTAAACATTAATCAGTTTTTGATTGGTATTTTGAAAGGCTTTTTGGGAGAAAGGTTATGGAACTTGAAGAAAAGTTTATTCTCTATGTCATAGAGAAGGGTTATTGTGGGAGAAAGGTCATTCTGTGTGTCACAGAGCCAAAATTCATGCCATTTTTCTCTTTATCTGAGCAAATATTTCTCTCTACTTGTTTTTACTTAGTGAAACAGAGGCACATCTTCCTGAATAGGATGACCATCCCTCCAGTTTGTTTAGGACTGGAGAGTTCCCTGGAACAACAGGGATGAGTTGGTTACGTTATTTGATAGAGTGAAAATTAAATAAGACTTGGGAGATATTTAAGGTCATTAGAAGAAAAATCATATGTTAAGTTTGTTGTTACCTAGTCATATACAAACTATAATTGTAAGGGGGAAGGTTAGTAATTGTTTTCTGAGTTTTTTGTAATAACTTTCTTTTTAGCTTGTCATATTATTTTTTAATGTTCTTCTAGGGATTTTGTTTTTCCTAGCAAAGTTCAAATTTCAGTTGTACCTGTGTTTTCACAGAGAATTAGTTTCAGGGCAAATACCAAAATCTGTGGCTACTTAAGTCCTTTACATAAACTGGCTTAGTATTTAGGTATAACTGACATTTGCATATATCCTAATGTAAAATGATGCAAAATATCTTTATACAGGATCTAGTACAATATAAATACTATGTAAATTGTTATATACTATGTTGTTCAGGAGAAGAAATGTTCAACATGTTGTTCAACAGAAGAAATATATATATATATATATATATATATATATATATATATATATATATATATATATATACAGTCGTGGGGCTTGAACTCTGGGGCTGGGCGCTGTTCCTTAGCTCTTCAGCTCAAGCACTCTACCACTTGAGCCACAGTGCCACTTCTGGTTTTCTGAGTGGTAAATTGGAGATAAGAGTCTTATGGACTTTCTTGCCTGGGCTGGCTTTGAACTGTGATCCTCAGATCTTAGCCTCCTGAGTAGCTAGGATTATAGGCGTGAGCCACTGGCGCCCGGCTAGTAAAGATACTTTAAAAAGAAAATATTTTTGACCTAAAGTTGATTGACTCCATAGATGTAGAACATGATGATATGTGGATGGCCAACTATGTATTTTATGAACATTTTTAGAATTAAAAAAAAAAGAGATAGGCCAGATATTGGTGGTTCATGCCTGTATTCCCAGCTATATGCAAAATTAAGTTTGTGAGATCCCATCTAAATAGAGAAGCTGGACGTGGTGGTTCCTGCCTGTTATTCCAGTTATGATGGGAAGTGTAAATAGGAAGATGGAGATCCAAGCTGGTCGGGCCAAAAGTAAGACCCTGTCTCAGAAATAATCAGACTGAAAAGTGCTATAGCACTTGCCTAGCAGGTACTCAGCCCTGAGTTCAAACCTCAGTACTACAAAAAAAGAGGATCTGATTAGGGACTCTTTAATTTATTAGCATAAAGAGATTATTTAGTAAAGTGAAATGAAAAAAAGGAAACTAATTAAGTTGCATTTGGATCCATTCTTACCCACAATGACATCAAATGCCACTACCGACAAATATGGCACAAAGGAACTCATTGAAGATGTTTGTGTATTTCTTATTTTGAGTCTGTCTGAAATAGCCAAATAACAAAGACAAATTCTAAATTGTATACCAAGAAATTTATAAATTAGTTAAGCCAGTAGCACATTTTTCCAACAATGTGATTATCCTGGGGTTTTTTTTCTTCTTTTTTTGGTGCCTCTCCTGAGGCTTGAACTCTGGGCATTAAGAATCAGAAACACCAGCCATTATGAATTCAGTTTTAGCAGAGGCTCAGTTAAAAAAAATCAAAATCAATCCTTTCCATGAGAGAATTACCCAAAGTATCATAATATTTTCTGTTTGGGTCTTGGATAGGACTTTTTAGTGACTTAGATTCCATCTGTAATAAGTGTTTTCCTGCTGTCATCTTTTTTCCTTAGATTGAACTCTCATTTTTGGTCCTTTAACAGTTTTCCTTTTTTTTTTTTGTCAGTTGTGGATCTCAGATTCACTAAAGCTTTCCTTTTCTCTAGCACTCCCTTACTTCTTTCTATAAGTAATATCTGCACAACCTCTGAAGAATTGCATGTCATTCCTGGGTTCTTAGCTTTGGGGCAACAATTCTGTCCAGTGTTTGGCTGCTGCAGACACATCAAAAGCATGAAGAACCCTCTGAATCTTTCATGGACTATGCCATGAGAACCTTCCATTAGAAGGAGGCCCCCTGCGGCCATGTGACAGAAGAAAAAGACATGATACAGGATGTGGGGAGTTTTATTGATTCCAAACCAAGATGCATCTTGACAGGAATCTGAGGATTGTAGTAAGAAAGCAGAGTTTTAGTTTCATGAAACTTGATCAAAAAAATTCCAGCAGTATATGAACAGCATGGTAAGATTGCTAGAGAAAAGACAAGCTTGTGAATTTGCTCATTCCATGAATACCTTTAAGGACTCACCCATTAGCGTGGAGGCAAGTGCTTTCCACGGCGGGGAACAATAGTTTTTACAACAAGCAGAATTTAAAAAAAAATGGCCTCACATTTGCTTTTCAATCTCATTCACTTGAGAAAGAACGATTCTTCCATTGACGGTCTCCTGGGTGATGGCCTTGAGTGTGGGAGCTGCAGATGCTGAGGGAAGAAGCACCCAAGAAGTCAGTGCCAGGCTGCCCCCTATATACTCAGTTCTACTCCCTGCTCTCAGCCCTGCAGCCTCTCTGTGCCTTCCAGAATGTTCACTAAGGAACATTCTGATACAAGGTATAGGGTTGTCCCCATGAAAACCTTTACCACCCATACTTTATGAAATGAAGGTCTCTCGTTCTCTGGAGACCAAGGCCTTCATCCTAGGTATAGCTGCAATGGCAGGTGTTTTCTGACTCCAAGCACCTGAAGAATCTTTTTTGCCCATGTGGGCTCTGTGACTCTTGAATCACAAATTCTCTGAGCTGGCAGATCATAAAATACCATTTGGAACACCTCCTCTTATTATCTAGAAAGCATGGCATATGATGGATGGGTGTGAAACCAGGGATGTTCTTCATGAACATTGTTTTCAAAGAGATGCCTTGTCTGGATAAATGCCTTGTTCACACACCGATCAACTGACTCAGGACCACAGGGAAAATCAAAACCATTAAATGGTGATACAAGGAAAAACTTGGATAATAGCAAATCTCTTGCAAGTGGACTGGATTAACCCATCAAAAACAAGGCTTCCCATCCCTGGATATGGTTAAGGAGAGCCTAAGGGGCCATAGGTTGAAATCTGTGTAAGGGTAGTTCTGTGGTGATGTACCCAACTCTAGTATTCTGAATCCCTATGCCTGAGAGTTGTTTGATCATAAATTAGTGTTAGCCAGATGCTGGTGGCTCACAGTCATAATCCTAGCTACTCAAGAGGCTGAGACATGAGGGGAATAGTAGGTAGGAAAGTCCATAAGACTCTAATCTCCAATGAACCACCAAAAAGCTAGCAAGTTACAAACAAGTCCTAGAAGTTTTCTATGGTATACTTATGATCACCTAAGATAATAATATACTTAGGTATTGGTAGATATTGGGGTTAAACTAAGTTAAACTTTTGTTACTGTTTCTTTTTCTTCCTTACTCTTTTCTGCATCCCAGCATGTTGCATTACTATAATGCAACATGCTTAAGAAGAAGCTCCTAGCATAGTGTTCTCATCCTCATCTGACCACAGAACATATTATTAAAAAATATCCCAGCCAAATTTCATGAGGCTGTTGAATAGAACCACATTTGGAAAGTGATCTGTTAATTTTCTAAGAGTTTAGGAAATTGATTCCATTAATTGAGACAGATACCATGAATTACCATTTTAACCTATTTTCTGTTTGTAAAATGTTTTCAAATACAGATTTAACTTCTTTTATCCAAAACTCCCAAATCCAGAAATGCTCCAAAATCCAAAAGTTTTTGAGCAGTCACAGGATGCTACAAGTGGAAATTTCCACATTGTGAAACTTTGTTTTCATAGCCAGGTGCCCTGGCTCCAGCCAGTAATCCTAGCTATTTGGAAGGTAGAGAACAGGACATTGAAGTTAGAGGCCAGCCAGGCATAACAGTTTGAGGGTCTCCCATCACAACCAATGGCTATGTGCTGTGCCACACACCTGTCACTCCCAGAAAGCACAATCCAGGATGGCTGAGGCATACAACAAGACTTGACTTTAAAAATAACCAATGCAAAAAGGGGCCGGAGGCCTGGCTTCAGTGGTAGAGTGCCTGCCTTGAAAGTACAAAGTCCTGAGTTCAATAAAAAACAAAAACAAAAAGCAACCAGTACAGCCAAAAAATCCCACTGCTAAAAATATAAAAATCAAAATTTTGTTGGATGAAAAATATTGATTAGAATATTGTATGGAGTGACCCACTAGCCATCTACATAAGGTAGACACCTTAGAAATGTATATAAATGTGTTTAGTTTTGGGTCCTATCTTCAAGATGTCTCGTGATGATATGCAAATGTTTCAAAATTAAAAACAAAACAATTCTAAAACTATCCTAAGCATGTTGAATAAGAGATTTTTCAAAGTGTGTGCTGTTGAGGACAATAATGAGAACTCACTTTGTTCTATTGCTTAATTTGTTCATGGAGGATTTCTGTCTATTTGGGAACAAAGTAAAGATTAAGCACAGGGTATCTGGAGAACAGAAAATGTTAGGACTAACTACAGGATGGGTGAAAAATTTATTACTTTTTAAAATGCAGTTCAAAATGATGGGTGACTTTTCTTACCTTTCATGGTCCACTCAGATTCTTCCATTGTCCTGAAAGGCAGAGAAAGGTTAAAGTTTACTTGAGTCCTAAGCAATAATCATAAAATCTTCTCAGCATGAATGAACATCCTTTGCCTGCTTGTGAACTGTTAGCTCCTTAACGAGGAATTTTTTTTAATTTCTTTTTTTTTTATTGTGAAAATACTGTACAGAGGGGTTACAATTACATGGGCAAGATAATGAGTACATTTCTTATCAAGCATTGTAGCCTCCTCCTTTGTTTCCCCTTCCATCCCTTCCCATCCTCCCAAATGAGGAATTCTTAGCTCCTTAGTTCCTCATTGCTTGTTCTGGATGCAAAAAATCATGAGGAGTGCCTGCTATGATCTCTGAGGTCTGAGTCTCCCAAACCTTTCCCTTTTCCTTGCATCCCACCGAATACTTTGTTGATCCCTTCCAGGGTCAGAGTTTCAAGCCTGGAATATCTCAGCTTCTTTGATTGGCCAACGTTTGGTCCAATGATTTTTTTTTTAACACAGAAACAAAATTTCTATCTGGGCATTAGGAGCTCATGCCTGTGACCCTAACTACTCAGGAGGCTGATCTGAAGATCATGGTTAGGAGTCACTGGGGCAGACAAATCCATGAGACTTGTATCTTCCAGCAAAAAGCTGGAAGTGGAGATGTGGCTTAAGTTGTAGAGCACTCTTCTTCAGTGAAAAAGGCTAAATGAAAAATCAAGATGCTCTGAGTTCCAGCCCCAGTACCAGCACCAAAAAGCAAAAAAGAACAAAACAATAAATAAAAACATCAACAATAATAAAATCCAACTTGTAAGCCTTTCTTTTGGGTCATGGAATGTATGGAACCCTTTATGATCAGCTATTATTTCCTGAGGTGGTCAGAAATTCTACACTAAACAATCTAGACACCTCTCTCTTTCTTTCTCTCATGAATCTTTTCCTTCTCTTTGGCTAAAGCACATTCTCTCTGGTAAACTCTGAGCACACAAAGATGTGTGTGTTCTCTGGGAAAAAGGATACCCTAAACCTTCTTAGTTGCTTTCTCCTTTCAGTCCTTACTAGATTGACTTTAACCATTCAGAATGTGAATCTTTTCTTCCAGGGAGTTCAAGCTGATTGGCTCACACTTGGCTGTTGAGTGAAGCAGACCTTATATAGATGCTTCCAGAGAAAGTCAACATTATCCTTCCTCTGACAGACCCACGAGGGCCGTGTGCCCTAAAGGTTCCTCTTCCACCCCCTCAGCCTCACCCGTCAGTGTCTCCCTCCAGGAGCTGGCGGTAGGTGGCGATTTCTTTCTCCAGGTGGGTTTTGATGCCCAGGAGCAGCTTGTGTTCAGTGTTCTGACGCTCTAGGTCACAGCGGAGCTGCCTTAGTTCTTCCTCATAGCGGGCGATGATCTGCTGTATGTCCTGGAGCTGGCAGGAGTACCGGGACTGCGTCTCTGACAACATGCGCTCCAAAGCAGATTTCTGAAAGAGCAAGTGAGAGATCTTTCACTGACTGATCCTTCCTTGCTTTAATAGTGTGTGTGTGTGTGTGTGTGTGTGTGTGTGTGTGTGTATGTATGTGTGTAGTATTTAGCTTGTGTTGGCCACTCTGCCCGGTTTATTGGTAAACTCTGAGGGCTTAAAGATGAGAACCAGGTTGAATGAGAGGTTTGGAGCTTGGGTTGGCTGTATTGGAACTTCTGATGTCATTTCTGGGGCACACACACACACACACACACACACACACACACACACACACACACACACACACACAATCAGTGCATCAGGGAATTCCTGGCAATGTTTCCACCTCCTTCAGTGTTGGTGATCTACGCTATGTATTGGGAATTGGGCATATTCCTTCTTCTGAACTGTACTTTATTGCCTTCTTCCATTCTGTCAGGATAGCAACGGGTGATGCTATCTCTTTGTATCCTCAGAGGAGGGAGGATAACAGAGGACACACGGTTGAATTTGACTTTCAGCTGAGCAGCAAATAACTTTTTTAGGACAAATGTGTCACAAACAGCATGTCCAAATTCCCTGGGGGCATACTCTAATGAGAAAGAAAAATTTGGATATTTCTCTAGAATTTAAACTCAACTGAACATCCGTGTGTGTGTGTGTGTGTGTGTGTGTGTGTGTGTGTGTGTGTGTGTGTGTGTGCACGCTGGTACTGGAGCTTGAACTTGAACTCGGGGTCTTGTGCTCTCTTGTCCTTTTTTTCTCAAGTTTGGTGCTCTACTACTTGAGCCACACTTCTAATTCTGGCTTTTTGTTGGTGAATGGGCTCTGTGGAAGAGGTGATACTGGACCTAGGAATTTTAGCTCCAAGTCACCTTGTTGTGCTGTGTCTGCAGGTCAATCTCTAAGGCTTGGAAAGTTCGTTTCAGCTCATGGATGTCATTTTGGCTGCCCTGCACAGCCGCTGGACTGGAACTGGCCACCTCCTGGGACACGGCTGTAGACTGTGAGGAAAACACAGGCAGAGACATCAACAGCAGGATTCTATAGCAGTGAAAACTTTCACGTTTACTCTCTCTCTCTGTTTCTCTCTCTCTCTGTCTGTCTTTCTCTGCTACTTGAACTCAGGTCCAGGGCCTTCTCCCTTAGTTTTGTCACTCAAAACTGCTGTTCTACCACTTGAGCCACAGCTCCACTTCTGTATTTTTGCTGGTTCATTTGGAAATAAGAGTCTCTGAGATATGTCTGCCATGCTCCTCAGATCTCAGCCTCCTGCACAGCTAGGATAACAGGTATGAGCCATGGACATCTGGCTGGCCACCTTTCTCTTACCTGCTCTTTAAACCAAGCGTCAATGTCCTGATGCTTCTTCTTTATTATGAGCTCATATTCCTGTCTCATATCCTCCAGGACCTTAATTAGATCTTCTCCTGGAGTAGTGTCCACCTTCACATTGACCTTGAAGTCACTTGGCACTGGGTTCTCCTCCATTTCCTGTTTAAGAACAGAGGAAGAAAATTAATTGGTTGTGACAATCAGAAGGCTGGATTCTTGAGTTGATTGGCAGAGGTAGCTAGATCTTCATCTCCTTCATTCAGCTTGTGTGATTGTTATACTTTCCCTGGTGTGATTGTTTGTTTCTTTTCTTTTTTTTACTTATTTACATCGATAACAAAACACTGTATACAATTTGGGTACCGGTGGCTCATGCAACTGAAAAGGCTGAGATCTGAGGATCAGAGTTCAAAGCCAGCTGGGGCAGGAAAGTCCATGAGACTCTTATTTCCAATAAACTACTCAGAAAAATCCAGAAGTGGCACTGTGGCTCAAAATGGTAGAGCACTAGCTTTGAGTAAAAGAAGCTCAGGGACAGTGGCCCAGGCCCTGAGTTCAAGCCACAGGATGCAAACAAACAAACCAACAAACCAAAAGAACATTGTAAACATCTTTTCCTCTAAAAAAAGATTTTTTTGGGGGGTCTGGTCGTGGGGCCTGAACTCTGGGCCTGGGCGCTGTCCCTCAGCTCTTCAGCTCAAGGCTAGCGCTCTACCACTTGAGCCACAGCGCCACTCTGGCTTTTTTCTTTTTTGCTTATGTGGTTCTGAGGAATTGAACCCAGGGCCTCAGGCATGCAAGGCAAGCACTCTACCACTGAACCACCTTCCCAGCCCCTAAAATTTTTATAGAATAAAGAAAAATCACAAGAACAAAATGCCTCTGTGATTATTGGCTTTACCCGTTGTCTGCAAATATTTCAGAGACAATTATGCTCTCGGAATGTTTGAAGTCCTGTCCAGCAATAGCCTTGGGCACCACCTGACTGTACAATTAACTTGTTGAATATTTTCCTTGTTTTTTTTTTAGGCAGTGCTGAGGTTTGAACTCGGCAGTCCCTCGATCACTCCAGCCATACCACGTGCCTAACATTTCTGGTATTATGCCAAGGCTTTTGGGAAGCAGCTCAGTAAACAAAAGCCAAAGGGTTGCTTTTGCAATCCTTTGCCTCGTGAATCTGTAGGGCTGTTGCCTTAGGACTTCATAAATATGAAGCTGCCACAGGAAAGGTTTAATTAAGAACCATTGTCTAACCAGCTATTCAGAAACTGGGCCCTTTGATGTTCAGATGCAACTTTTTTTTGTTGCCCTGAAATGGAAATTGCCTGTCCATCATTGTATCAGTCTCAGGAACTTGAAATGAATGGAAACCCTTTAAAGTCAGTTCAATGCTTCTGGGTTGGGATTCCTAATTTTTGCCACTAGCCATATTTATCTTTGTATATGGCAGATTCTTTTTATTGTCTCATCCCCCAGTTTGCCGCTCATTTATTCTTATAGTATATTAACAAACAAGTCTAAGTAAACAGTGTGTTTACTGTTGGCCAATTCATCACTAATTTTGATTGCATTTTAGTAGTTGAGTTTAATATCCGAATAGATGACCTTGTAATTTGAGAAATTAGATACTTATGGTTCTTGTTTTATGTACTTGTCAGTACCAGAGCTTGAAATTAGAGCTTTACATTTTTTTTTCTTGGCTGGCTTGCTTATGGCTGGTGCTCTACCACTTGAGCCATGCCTCTAGTTGGGCATTTTTTTCTCCAGGCTGGCTTTGAACCATAATTCTCTGATCTCAACTCTCCTGAGTAGCTGGGGTTACAGGCCTGAGCCATTGATGCCAGAGTTTTGTATGATTCTTTATGAAGACAGTAGGAGTGGCATTCGGGCGGTGTTTTCTACTGGGTTGCCCTGAAAAATGACAACTAAGAGCTGAACTTACTGCCTGGAGTTCTAGGGACAGCCCTACCTGCTCATGGCGCTTCTTCATGAGGATGAGCTCTTTCCTCATTCCCTCTACTTCCTGTTCCAGGTCTGTTGTGATGATGGTCAGATCATCCAAGGTCTTCCGGAGGCCCTCCACTTCCATTTCCAAGTCTTTCTTAAAGGAGTGTTCATTTTCATACCTTTGGTTGGAAGGAAGGGAAGAGTATACCTGTTGTTGGAAGGCCAAGGGCTTTGTAAGGACTCACTTTACTTTAGAAGTGAATCTCTTACTTTTTTATTGTCAAGGTGATATTTAGAGGGGTTACAGTTGTGTAAGTGAGGTGATAAATACGTTTATTGTCAAACTTGTTACGCCTTCCTTCATCTCTTGCTTTTAAAGGTTCGTCCTGGGAAAATGAGTGTGTGCAGGCTGTCATTTACACACTTACATTTACAAATGTTAGGCTCTCCCTGGGCTGGTACTCTACCACTTTAGTGCCATACTGCCACTTCCATTGTGTGTGTGTGTGTGGGTGTGAGTTTTTTTTCTAGTTAATTGGAAATAAAAGTGTCACAGACTTTTCTGCTTGGGCTGGCTTTGAACTGTAATCAGCTTCCTGAGTAACTAGGATTACAAGCATGAGCTACTAGTACCCAGCTCAAACATCTTTTCTTCCTCTACTTATTTTGGTCTTGGGACTGGAACTCAGGGCCTAGGCTTATCCCTAAGCATTTTTGCCCAAAGCTAGTACTCTATCACTTTGAATCACAGTTCTACTTCCAACGTTTTGGTGGTTAGAGACAAGAGTCTCACAGATTTTCTTGACCAGGCTGGGTTTGAAACATGTTCCTCAGGTCTTAGCCTTTTGAGTAGCTAGGATTACAGATATACTGGCACTGAGCTCAAATGTCAGTTTTTTAAAATTGCACAGAGCAAATAGAACAATAAACATTCATAGACCTATAACCTTATGTTTAGAAACAATTATTTTTTTTTGCTGTATTTACTTTATTTATATTCCTTGTTGAGGTTTTCCAAAGTAAATTATAGATATAACATTTTAACCCCAAATACTTCAAAATGCATCTTTTAAGAGAAAAAATTTCTTTTCTAAAAAAACATAAACTGTCATACCTAAAATTAGGAATTATTTAATGTCATCTGATTCTTTCCCCACATGTGCATTTTATATATGATTTAAATCGGTCAGTTCAAATACTGCATATTGTGTTTGCCTTTTGTATAATTCAGTAAGATTCTGAGACATGGGCAATGACAAAATGAGGTTTCCTTTGGTAAAGCAAACACCCAATCTATGTAGCACGGTGAGGAAGGAACTTACTTGAGGCTGAAGTCATCCATGGCCATCCTGGCATTGTCAATGAGAACAATGATCTGAGCATTGGTCATCTTACCATCCACTATCTGTAAAACAGGCACCAAGTGTTGCTTCAATTAGATGTAACAGCTGTGTTTCTCCCTCAGGTTTATTGGGTCTGTCAACTTTTAGCACCATCTGCTTTTTCTCCGGTGTAACAGGGAGAATTGACTTTCTGAGCACATAATGAGGAACCAAGTATGGTATGATTTTATAGTAAGGATGTGATCTGCAGTCAGTTTTGCTGTCTTTCATTTGAATGTTGACTTTTGTGGCTGGGATTGAGGTAATGGTTGGAAAGAATGATACAGGGAGGAGAGGGAAAGTGATCATTCAAAATCCCTTCTAATACTCCAACTGTTGTGAATATGTTTTGTGTCAGCTCTTTGCATCTGGGAATGGTAAAAGGATCTTCAGTTCTGAGCTTTTTCTTATTGTGAATGTTAATTCAGTTCCTAAAGTACAATACCTACTGTTTTAGAGGATTATCATCTTTACTTGTGAGACATTCATGTTTCCACTGTGAATGGACAAAACTGACAACTTGCTAGGTGCTGGTGCTTCATGGTGGTTGTCATCCTAGCTACTTAAGAAACTGAGATTGGGAGGATTGTGGTTCTAGGCCAGCCTGGCTGAAAAGAGACTCCAACTCAGTGAAAATAAGCTGGGTATAGTGGCAGATGTTTGTTATTGCAGCTATAGTGGGAAACAAAAACAGGAGGATCACTGTCCAGGCATGTACTTGGGCAGGAAGTGAGACCCTATTTCAAAAAAATAACCAGTCTCAACAAGTACTGGATGCATGGTTCAGCAGTGGAATGCCTGCTTAACAAAATGCAATGCCCTGAGTTCAAACACCAGTATAGTACTGAAAGCAAAAACAAAAATCCTAATAGTTGTCCCCTAGCACAAGTGACCAGAGATAAACAATACGATTTTTGTATGTGGTATGTGTTTGTATTTGTAATGTATTACATGATGAGAGACTCCCAATTGTGGCTATCAAAACATTAACTGAGCTATTTTTTTTAACATCTAACAAAGCTCCTTAATAAGCATGGACCATATGCGAGCCTCCAGTTAAACACTTTCACCACATATTAATATGATTTTTGTTTACTTTAAAAATAAAGATATTGTTGGGGCTGGGAAGGTGGCTCAGTGGTAGAGCGCTTGCCTTGCATGCTCAAGGCCCTGGGTTCGATTCCTCAGAACCACATAAGCAAAAAGAAAAAAGCCGGAAGTGGTGCTGTGGCTCAAGTGGTAGAGCGCTAGCCTTGAGCTGAATTGCTGAGGGACAGTACCCAGGCCCAGAGTTCAGGCCCACGACCGGACCCCCCCCCCCCAAAAAAAATAAAGATATTGTTAAAGCATTTGTTCAAGTGACAGTGTATGTAGAATGCTATGGTCAGAGACACAGGGCACCTGTGATGTTTGTTATTGTCTTTGGGGGAAGTGGGTGGAAGATATCTCATTGTCCAAAGGTATCGTAATACTTTTGTACCAAAAGTATTGTGCCAACTTAGAGCCTGAACCTTTTCTTTGTTCTGGCTCCCTTCCTGACCATCTACAGGATCTTTAGCCTTTACTTTCTGTAAAGTAGAAACTTGTGGTGACCTTAGATGTTCTTGGGCACGTTAGCTGGAGTCAGAGAATCCTGGGAAATTCCTGCTATATTCAGACAGTGAATTCCTTTGTGTAGAGAGGATTTTCTTAGGACAAAGCTATTTCTCAATGCCAAGACACTTTAAAAAATCTGGCCGTATTTTAAGCTCCACTGATTCTTTGGAATTTGGGCTCCAAAATGTATAAGTTGAAGCATTCAGAAGTGCTAAAATTGCTAGGTCTGGAACTCAAAAAACAAGGCTGGGACCTCTGTTCAGGCATGCACTCGTTGAGTGACCTTAGCTGGGTTTCAGTTTCCTTTACTGTAAAATGGTAACAATAGCCACCCCATCAACAGTTATGAGAATGAGAGGCTATTAAAGAAAATATTGCTATAAAATAGCCCTCTTCTTGGTATAACTACAGATACTCTGAAAACTTATTTGGAATGGAGTTAGTTTAGGCAATTGAAAATTGTTTAATTTTCTTTCTCCTACCTTTCTCTCTCTCTCTCTTTTTCTTTCTCTCCCTTTCCCTTCCTTCCTTCCTTCCTTCCTTCCTTCCTTCCTTCCTCCCTTCCTCCCTTCCTCCCTCCCTCCCTCTTTCCCTTCCTTCCTTCCTTCCTTGCTTGCTTCCTCCCTCCCTCCTTCCCTTCCTTCCTTCCTTCCTCTCTCTCTTTCTTTCTCTCTCTCTTTCTCTCCCTCTCTTTCTTTCTTTCTCTCTTTTTCTCTTTCTCTCGACACTATTGTAATTAGAGCCAGTGTCTGCATTAGGCAAAGCCCTGAGTTTTACACCTCTAACTTTCTATTCATGTTGGGAGATAACTAGCTGACAGCCCCTCCCAACTTCTTTCTTCCTTTTGTGGGATTCCCAATATCCTATGACTTCTTCCTTTGCCCTAAAAGTGCAAAGTGCAGGTATTTTCTCATCTCCCATCTTCAGTGCTGGTTTGGAGGCATTCTTACCAATGCTTTTCTTCCAGTCCCTTATTATTTAATCTCATGCGACATGAAAAGTAGTTACATGTCTCCCAAATCCTAGGATTTTGGGGTAGGGGTACATGGGTAAAGTAAGGCTTACTGCCTTGTGCACCCAGTTACTCAATTTGACACATGATGAAAGTTTCATTGACATCCCTGGAAATCTTGCACTATATACATCACAGAAAAGCAAAGACACATTAAATCTTTAAATTAAACTGATTCATTTTCCATTGTAAAGCTCACATCGAGTGTCTAATTCCCCCCAGCACTGGCTTGGATTGTGAGTGTGAGCTCTGAAATGTACTTGATAGAAAGCATTTTGATATAAAGTCTTTAAAATGATTTCCCACAGGTCTGGCTTACTTGATATGGTATTAGGGTGCAGACATTATTTACGGACCCCGTTCCTGGTCATAAATGGAAGAGGAAGGGTTGAGAAATACCCTATGAGGCATAGGTGTTACATTGCGTGTTGTAATAGCCACTTGGATTCTCTCCAAGGCCCTAAGTTTGTTCTTTTAAAATCTTGTTAGTCTTGCAGGGTGTGTAATCACCTATCTGGGTGCAGAAAATAGACTTTCTGACCGTAAACCCAAATGCCACATACAGTACTCTTGAAAATCATTAAGGAGTCTTATGCATGATATTCCTATGAGTATGTCCAATTTTGTTTTTCCGAAGAATTGGATTAGTTTTTTAGTTTTTTTTTTTCTAAAGGACAAGCGTAATGCTGTATGTATTCAGAATGTTTCAGTAAGATCCCAGAACAGGTCAGCCCCAAGGAACTGTGGGACTTCGGCTTCTCATTCGCAAGTGGTAGAGGTCAGGAAAGATGAACAACCTTAGCACCAAAGAGGTGCTTCCTGCAAATCCAGAGATAGAACACAGCTGGAGTCAAAGTCCAGAAAAGAGTAGACATTGAAGCTGAAGGAGCTCTGTAGTTCATCTCAGAATTCAGAGTTCTGGCTCTCTAGAGAGTGAACAAGTTATCCTCTCCCCATAAGGCACCCACTCAGTTTTCTTGATTTTATTTTTAAAGAATTTAGACAACTACTCAATCTCAGTCTACTTATCCCTAAATTGAGGATAAAAATACCCAATTCCATCAAATGAAGTACATATGAAATATGTGTGACATGAATATTACTGCAAAGGCAATGCTTACCCTTATTTACTACTACTACTAATGTCACCTTCATTTGAGGTAAGCTAATTGGCACCATGCTTAGTTGGAAATTATGAGACCATTGGAAGCAGATCTGAGCAAGATTTCCACCTCTCCCTCTTGCTGGTGGCCTTGGAAGGCTTTTTCACTTTTCCAAGCTCTAGTTTCTTTTTTTTTTCTTTTTTATTGTGAAAATACTGTACAGAGGAGTTACAATTACATGGGCAAGATAATGAGTACATTTCTTATCAAGCATTGTAGCCTCCGCCTTTGTTTCCCCTTCCCATCCCTTCCCATCCTCTCCCCCCGCCCCCCCCCACCCAATCCTCCCCCTCCCCTCCCCCCCTCCCCCCCCCCCCCCCCCCCGCACGAAAGTTGTAAAGTTTGTTTTCGACAAAACTACTTGTACATCTCATTGTTGCAATGGGTCCACCTGTATCCCTATTTAAATGATTTGTTTTTCCCTTTCCCCTCCACAAATTATACCGACTTGTTAAGAATTAAATCAGATGATACAATGACAGTTCTGTCACTGTAGAAACCTCTTATCACAGATACCTGACCCCACGTCTGGCATACAAGAAACACAAGAAATGCTCAATAATGATTTTCTCCTTCTTTACTTCCCTTTTTCCTTCCCTCTTCCTTCCCTTTTTTTCCTTTCCTCTTTCTTTCTCTCTTCCCTTCTCTCTTCCCTTCCCTCTTCCCTTCCCTTTTCCCTTCCCTTCCTTTTTCCCTTCCCTTCCCTCTTCTACTAGCAAATACATTATTTGATCAAGTATAACCTTGTATTTCGTTGGGGAGTCAAGCATCATTTTCCCTCCATTTCTAAAACCAAAGCAACTTAAATGCAAAAACACAGTGAGGATGTTGAGTCACCTTGTTTTTTTCATAAAGACAACCATGCACTATGTAGTTAAGGTAATTACATACTCAGTTATTAGGCCGATTATTCAATAATTAGGGTTCATTACAAGGACAGATTTATACTATCTTGATTGGTCCTTTCTACCTTCAACCAAGAATGACGAGTATTGTGAAATAATACGGCATAAATATTGAGAGCCTAGGATGCCCTTTTAAGGGGAGGTTAACTCATGATCTTACAGGGATTTTCTGGGACTACTTTACATGAAGGAAAGTATAGAGTTTTTTTTTTAAATAGATAATAAAATAACCAAGCTCCCCTGCTTACAGCTAGATGTCTCAGAAGGTACACACTTGGCATTTTAGATGTTTGATTGATAAGTTATTTATTTTCCAAAACATGTCTCTGCAAACCATCCTAACTCACACATTTTCAAATCTGGGTTCTTCCTATTATTTTTCCTAGTAATATGCCATTTTTACTTTTTCTTTTAGCAGCCCCCAAGTATCCAGAGATGTCACAAGGATAAAGATCGGCTAGTAGAATGACAGATTTTAGGCTTGATCGCCACAGCAGTACAACAAAGCCTTTTGTTGATGGAGAGCCACACTGCTGCCAGGACCGTGAGGTGGAGCAGAACTGATGTAATGAGAAAGTAAATACTCTCTTGAGCCTGGTGAGCCCAGTATGCCACATGCATACCAGCTGCTACCATGGCTGTGACATTGTTGAATCAGTTAGTGATACTGCGCATTCCCTGGCTACCTCAACCTTTTAAAGATTTTTATTTTTTAGTTTATAGGAAAAAATAGAAAGATTCACTCTTTAACAAAATAGCCTCTTACACTTATTATATTTTTGCCGCCTTCCTGTGCTACATGAATTATACAGATTTTTCTCAAGTGCATATTTAAGCAGTATTGAGAAGATATTCCCACATTATCTCTGTGAGCATTTACTTGGAGCTCTGGTTTTTGTGCTGCTCTTCCTCCCCCAGGGTCCCCCTGGCTATGTGACTGCTGTGTGCACCTCAAGACCACTAGCGTCTTACCTGCTCTTGCAGGTGGCTGATGTTTTCCTCATATTGAGAATAATCTTTCCTGCTGCCGGTATCTCTCTGCTGATGCCATTGGAGGATGCGGCTTTCCAACTTCAAGTTGGCCTCCTCCAGAGCGCGCACCTTGTCCAGGTAGGTTGCCAGGCGGTCATTGAGGTTCTGCATGGTGGCTTTTCCATCCCCACTTAGGAGGGAACCACCTCTTTCGGACCCCCAAGACCCTCGAGGGGGTAGGCAGCTTGGTCTGGTGGAGGAGAGGGAGATGCGGACCCCTCCAGCACCTCCATGGACGCTGGGGGCCCGGGGGAAGCTCCCTGGCTGGCCCCAGTTGCCTCTGATCCCATGGAGGGAAGCTAAATGGTTCTGGCTAAAGCTACGGCTGGAGCTCATGGTCCCATCTGTGTTCAGGACAGGGCCAGGCTCTGTTCTGCTCCCCTGCCTGCTATGACACTGAGCCTCCCTGGACTGCTCTGAATGGTTTTTATGCCCTTTGTTGTGGGAGTTTCCTTCTCTGACAACTGTACCAACAAGATCCTATCATTGTGCAATGTATGTTTCCTCTTGGTCAATCCCAAAGTGCCCCTGGGCCAAGATGCACTGTTGTTGTTTAGAACCACATCAATATGCCACTTTGCTTCCTCCCTTCCATTGCCAACTGGAGGCGTAGCTCACAACGTTGGGCTAGTAGGAGTCTCAGGTGTCTTTCTAATCTCTCAGTGGAATTTTTCTATTGTCTAATTATTTTTTGAGAAAGGGTCAGATTAGAGTCTACACTAAAGGTATTTCATACAGTGCAGGTTTTCTTTTTTAAAAGCAGACATTAAGTATACACAACATAGACACACAGACACAAACAGGCGCGCACACACACACACACACACACACACATTTTAAAGCAAGAGTGAGAGGTATATATAAAGGGTGAATCAGAGCAGTATCTTAGATCCTAGAAGAAAGCTTACTCTGGGCGCTTGAAGGAAACCAAGAGGACTATAAATATCTGATTCTTCTGTGGCCATCCCCATGTGATGGAAAGTAATTTCAGAGGAATTGCTCTTCAGAACAAACCCTCAATTACACTTGTAATTAATTAATGAATGACTGAGCCTTCTGCTTCCATGTTGCCTTTTATCCCGGCACACGCCAAAACCAAACAACTCAGCCTGCACCCAGGACTTTCCTTGACCTTGGGGAAGGACATAGTCCTTGCTCACTGCCCAGCAGTCCCAGCCCTCCCTGGCTGAGCTCTGGGCCGGCTGCCTTCTGACGGCTGTCTGTGACCTGTAGCAGGGACAGCAGAGAAACAGGAAGTGTGCTGTGGTCTTTAACATGCTTGATTGAATCCACTACGTTGTCTGCCAGGGTAATGGTTAGGAATGAATGAGGATGTAGTTTGGGGTTTCTTGTTACTTGATTTATAGGGAACGTAGAATTAAAATGTCAGAAACAGAAAAGACTTTCCTGGGTCAATACTGCTAATCTACAGATAGGGAAGACTGAGGCCTGTCTGGGGGTGGTGGTGTAGGGTGGGAGGGAGAGAGGGAAGGAGAGAGAATAAGAAAGCAAGTAGAGAGAGAGAAAAAAAGAGAGACAGACAGAGACAGGGAGACAGACAGAGACAGAGAGAGAGAATTTTGATTTTCATTTAGGCCCTTGGATACTATCTTCCTGCCTCTGTTAGGAGGGTGAGCTATGAGTTATAGAGCCAGGGAACAGGAAAAAGCATATCTCTTGACAGAGGACCAGCCATGCACAACGGCCTGCCTCTTACTAATTACAAGTGAAACCACTGGAGCACACAAATTGTTCCTCCTGTCCCAAGACCACAATGAGCAAGGAAAGTTCTCTGTTTTCTTTACCTCACCGTGGTGTCCAGGCTAGAGCAGAAAGTCATGTGCTGAGGATGATGTATGTGGTTCCCGGTCACTGCTCTGACTCGAGGCTGGGTTTGGCTCTGGTTTCAGTTGACATGGACCCAGAAGAAGGAGGTGAGTGGCCATGGTTGTATGTACATACAAAGGCCAGGCTCTTTCCCTGAACTTGCTCATCCCAGTCTACAATGGAACTCCTCAAGTCCCTGTTCATGTCAGGTGCTGAGAGGTGTGATTTATCAGCCCCATACCTTGAGTCTGTGTCTCATTTTACATCAGGGTAGAGGAAGTTGTCGATTTACAAATTAACCTTGAGCACAGTGTTTCTTGTATCATATTGGGGGGCGGGAATCAAAGTGGGGATAATTGGTGATGAAATGTGAGAGCATCGGAGGAAATAATCTGTGTTGGAATTGTCATATAGTGCTTTTCCTCATGACTTCTAGTGCAAGTGGGAGGGGGCTCCATTAAGTTTTAAAATAAATGATGACCTTTTATGGTAAAAATGGTAATAGACTCATTAAAAATAAATTAATATATAAACTGTAAGAAAGAGGATTATAAAAAAGGACAACTCAATCCCACAACATAGACATAACCTATGGTAACATTTGGTGAACATCCTTTCAGATACTTCCTATGTGTATAAATTAAAAATATACGTTGGAGAGACCAAAGGAAGAGGTGACATTGTCCAAAGAAAGAAATCTACTCATTTCCTGACTTAGGAAATGGTAACCCCTCTGTACAACACCTTTGCAATAACAGTAACATATTTTAAAAATAAAAATAAAAAACATATAGATGGCTAAATTAATTTTAGAAAAGTGAGTTATATTTCTTAATCTTTTTTTAAAAAACTTGCTAGACAAGTACTTCACTACTTGAGCCATGTCCCCAGTTCTTTTGCTTTTCAGGTTTTTTTTTCCCCAAGATGGGGCTTCATATTAACTTTGTCTTGGACTGAGATCCTCTTGTCTTTACCACTTGTGATAAAGTGTGCAACCATGCTTAGCTTGCTTTTTGAGATAGGGTTTAGCTAATTTTTGCCTGGACTGGCTTTGAACTATGAGCCTCTTGTCTTTGCAGGCTAGGTCACCATATTATTATTATTATTATTATTATTATTATTATTCTTAGCTGTTAGCTGTACTGGATTTGAACTTAGGACCTTGTCTTTGCTAGGTAGATACTTTATCAACTGAGCTATATTCCAAGTACTCTTTGCTTTGGTTGTTTTTGAGATAAGGTTTCATGTATGCCTGGACCAGCCTAGACTGAAATCTTCCTATTTACACTTCCAATAAGCTGAATTAACAGAATTAGAATCTATATCCATAAATACAATTAAAATAAAATAAAAATTTAAATCTTTTAATTTAGTTCATATGACTATTAATTTTATTGAGAGATCCTGGGATTAGGCCAATAAAACACAATTATTTTTTATTTCATTTTCATTATTACATATTTATTGTATAAATAAAGGTTTTCTTTGCTTCTCTCCCTGGAGTGGAGTTTTGTTTCACTTCTTTTCCCTTGGCTTCTCTCACCTTCCCTTCTCTTGCCTTGCCTTCCTTTCCCTTGCCTTCCCTTCCCTTCCCTTCCCTTTCTTTTCTTCTAGTGTAGCACTCCACAAATGATCTTTCCTGCTGTGTGAAGAACTGGTTTGGAATGCTTAGTAGTCAGCAAATCTTTATCCACTTATGCTTTGAATTTAGGATTGCCAGTGATTTTGCACCATCATAAACAGAAAACTCCTTTCGCTTGCTGACAATGAAGTCATCATCATCTGAATGACATAGCATATTAGAGCCATGACCAGGCCTAAGCCTAAGAAGAATGGGTTGCTCTATCCCCTTGATCCTGGGAGTTGCACCTCATATATATATCATTCTCACTTTCTCAAAAGGGGCCCCTGCATCTTTCCAGCTTCCTTCCCAGCCCACACCAAGCCTTTCAGAGAGAGCGAGTGATGTGAGAGCTCTTTCAAAGGAGTGCCAGGACACTCTTGCCTTAGGCCTGGTTTTGGAAAGATCGTTGAGTCTTTTATTTGATTTTTGGCACTGCTTTGGCACTCCACCAGGGCCTGTTGGGGTGATTTTGTTCATTTAAAGTGACACAAGAAAGGCAGATTCCCCACCAGTGGGTGGAGAATGCTATTATAAGACTGAGACGATTTCACTCTTTTCCTTTCTCATTTTTGTCATCTTAATCCAGGGAACAAGAGAGGGAGTCGAGCAAATCCCCTCTACAAAGGCCATTGTCACAGAGAATCCTTTAATTAGCTTGCATGCTCACTTTAGTGCTCACTGGGACTTAGGTTCTTTTTCTTTAGCCACAGAAGGAGACATTGTGGATAACTGTGGTGTTGGTTGGCTGAAGCCTCAGCCCATGCAATCTGCTGAAACTGTGCTCTGGTAGGCTTTACCTTCATCCCAGTGGTTCATGTGGTGGCAGGACCAGAGGTGGAGGGCTGTGGGAGGCTCTCCCTCCACCCCACGATGCTTCCCTACTTCACAGTTGTTGATGCCTGAAATTCAACCATTACCTGTTTGAGTCACCAAAATATAATTCAAAACAAAACCTTAATATATCCTCCATTCACTCAGAACCACAGGCTTCATATTTCAAACATGTATCTTGCAAATTCTTATGTTTAGTGAGGTGAGAAGGATTGGGAGCTGGGAGCTGAACTTCCTTGTCTGTGGTTATCCTATCCAGCAACCTCCAGCTCTCTGGTTTCAATGTTCTTCACATGAAAATGAGATGGTGAATTATTTTCGCCGTAATTTACAGGGTTGTTGTGGGGAAGGAGAGGTAATGTCCCTACTAGAGCTTTGCCACCTACATACATGAGCTATGGCATGAGCATGCAATGTACATACATAGGTTTGTGATCTGTAGGTGCTGTGAACATATTTGGGCACGGGATGATGATAATAATGATGGTACTGACTGTAAATACTTCTGGTCTATCCTACAGTCAGGATATCAAGAATCTGAACAGGGAGGAGACCAGTGAAGTTGTCAGCAAGTCAGAGGGGTAGATTAGAAAGCCTAGGGAAAAATGTATACATCAGCCTCTAAGGGAATTCACAGAGAAACTTTAACTTCAGAAATTTACATTTTGTAAATAGTCATTAAAGGTCCTAAGTCTTATCTTTCCCATTGCTGAAGGCCTGGTCATCAGACTTCAGCTCAGATTCCTGACGCTGGCATCAAGCTCTTAGTGCTCAGTGTCTGTGACTGAGAGCTGAGATTAAACTGCATTCTGAGTAAATGATATAATGTATCAGAGAAGTAATAGAATTGAAGTTAAAGCCTGAAAACATAATGAAATGATAAGGAGATTGAAATGCTACTTCTTCTAACTTGATCATGACACATTACATAAACATATTTAAATACTAGCCAGTGTTGGTGGCTCACACCTGTAATCCTAGCTACGCAGGAGGGTGAGATCTGAGGATCATTGTTCAAAGCCAGCCTGTGCAGGAAAGTCCCTGAGACTCTTATCTCCAATAAACCACCAGAAAACTGGAAGTCGTGCTGTGGCTCA